TGTGTGTGTGTGTGTGTGTGTGTGTGTGTGTGTGTGTGTGTGTGTGTAGGTCAGAGGACAACCTTGGGAGTGAGTCCTCCTCTTCCATCTTGTTTGTACTGACTACAAGCTTCTGCGAATCTCCTTTCACCTTCTATCCATCTCACTGTATGAACTCTGAGACCTAAGACTCAAAGGACATAAAACCACAACAAATTCTGAGACTCAGACTGGACAAATCATGCATCCATTCAAAACTTAAAATTTCTTGCTGAGCACAATGATGCATGCCTAAAATACCAGCACTCAAGAAGCTGACACAGAACCTGCATGGTGGTGCACACCTGTAATCACAGTATTCAGGGAGGCAGAGGCAGGAGGATCGATGTGAGTTCAAGGCCAGCTTGGTCTACAAATTGAGTCCAAGACAATCAAGACTGCACAGAAAAACCCTGCCTCAAAAAAACAAAACAAAACAAAAAAACAAACAACAAACAGACAAAAAGAAGCTGAAACAGAAGGATCATGAGCACAAAGTTTGGCTTGCACTAACAAGACTCTGTCACACACACATACAACTTTGTTTTTCTCATTGGTAAACACAAAACAAAACAAAAGCAAGACAAAAACAAAAAAACCTTTCCAGATTACCTCAGCAGTTGTGTATTGGGAGGATCTCACTCTGTAGCCTAGCCTAGTCTCAAAATCCCCTTGCCCCTTGCTGAAATCCCCTTGCCTGAACCTTCTCAGGTGCTAATATTACAGGGTGTGGACACTATACCCTGCTTTAGTAACTTTTTTTAAATTTCTGCTGTTGGTGCATCAGACAGTGGTAATAGACAACCAAAAACATAAACTTGAGGAAATCAGTCATCACTTCAGAATTAATAGACCATATATACTCTAGAAATCTATAAATAGGTAAGAGTTTGAGACACTCAAAATTTTGATTACTTTTTTATTTATGTGTATGAGTATTCACCTGCATGTGTGTGTGTCTGTGTGTGTGTGTGTAAAACACAGGTGTGCTTTGTGTCCATGGAGGTCAGAAGAGGGTGTCAGATTCCCTGGAACCATGTAAATGGTGAGAACCAAACCCAGATCTTCAAGAGCAGCAAGTATTCTTAAGCACTGAGCCATTTATCGCTCCAGCCCCAATCAATACAATAAGGATTTAATAATGAATGGGGTATGGGTGTAACTTAAAAGTTTGTATTCTTCAATAACCTACTTATAAAAGAACATCAGAGAAATAAAAGGGAGAATTATTAACCTAAATTAGACTAAAGATCTAAAAAAGAAAAAGAAAACTAAAGGAAAAAAACTAAAGATCTAGACGATTCTAGCACACACCTAAGCACCATACATAGTGCATACATGCCGTATGAACAGCAAAAGCACATAAGCAGCTGAAGAAAGACTTAGGTAACAGAGCCGGATCCGATTAAAGCACTAGTATATACTGAAATCATCTGTCAAGGGCTAAAGTTGTAGCTCAGTTGGTGGAGTGCTTGCCTAGCATGCATGAAGCTAGGCTTGAACCCCAGCACCACATAAAACTAGACACTGCAGTGTTGCACACCCATCATCTAGCAGCTGGAAGATAAAAAGAAGAGGATCAGAAGTTTAAAGTCATCCTCAACTACCTAACAAGTTCAAGGTCAGCCTAGGATACAGGAGAATCTGTCTTTCAAAAACAACCACCACCGCACACACATACACACATGTCCCAAAACTTGTTTATGAAGCTCTGAAAGACATACTCTCAAATCTACTGACTGAGAATTTCCTGGTCCCAGCGCCCAGGAATATACACACAAATTACTCCAATGCTGTACTTTCAGTTGGGAGCCACTACACTAAGCGTGAGAATCATTACTTCCTGTTCTGATTCCATGCTCTGTATCTGGACTTTGTTACTCTGTGGGTTCTTCTTTTTTCCAACCTTTATCCCCCAGTTTTAGCCCCTAACACTAGACTGTAGAGAAACAAGGATAGATTGGAAAGATGAATTAGGAAAATCCCTGAATCTGCTTTGTTTCTTTTTATTTCTTCTTTGCCAATGGTTACTAACAAACTAGAACCAATCCCCCTAAATGAACAACAACTACCCATACCACCTATCAGGACTCTAGCATTTATATACTCTCTGAAATGTTCCCAGAATTCCAAATATCACACAATCACAGAAACTATATGCAGTTGGAAAAACCATGTCTCTGTTGGAGTACAAGGCAAATCATCATCAGCTGCTGTGGATAGTCCAAAGCAGCCCATATCTCCACACCTAGAATTAAAATGAAAGTACAGTCTTAGAATTTTTGTTTTTAAAGAAGCCAAAATTCCAGAATTCTCACTCCAGTGTTCAGTAAGGAAAGAATCTCTATAGAAAAATATCTACCAATATATGAATATTATTTATTTGGTGTGTATGTATGTGGGCAAGTACATGTCATACATGCACGTGGAGGTGAGAGGACAAGTGGCAGGAACAGCCTTCTCCTTCCACCATATGGGATCCAGAAATCAAATTTGTCATCAAGCTCAGTAGCCAGCATCTTTATCTACAGAGTCATCTCATATGACATGAATTACAATTCTTAGTAGAAATTATTTAAACTGGTAATCTGTTGCATGTGATTATGATTATAATAATCTTAATCTTGAGGAAAGATCATATAAAAAAAACCCACAAAAATCTGGTTGCTGAGCTGGCAAAGGTGATTAAAAGACACTCAAAGTAATCACTGGACTGTGATTACTAAAATTAAGTATCTCTTAAGTGAGACCTGGCATTTATGTTTGCGTATCTTCAGCATTTCAAATTACATGGCAGTAAGGATGAAATGAGAAAAATGAAATATATCCTAAACTAGTGTGGTGCAAATGCCAGACAACATTGGGAACAATAAATATGTAACAATCATAGACCAAACAGCAGATTGATACCTACTTAAAAAAAAAAAAAAAAAGAAAGAGTTGGCTATTTCAGTGAAACTCAGCGGGAAAGCTTAGTCAGTTACATGTGAGTGATAAATGAGCTTTGTAACTTGGCTCCTTAGCTGAAAACATGATGTTTGAGGAAGCAGAATGTCACTTAAATTGTTATCTCCTTTACAGACAGAAACCATTTGAACATAATCACTCACCTGTTTTCTAAACTAGAGTACTTCCAAGAAAAACTTTTTTAATCTTAGAGCCTTAAAATGAGCAAAGAAAAGTTAAGATGTGTGATTTACTTTCACCAAAGCAATAAGGTCTGTTTATAAACCTGTTTATAAGCCAGATACTAGCTAACAAGCAACACTCAGGTAACAGAAAATAAGGACTCAGGTAGCTTTTCTCATCTTTCATTGGCCTAAAATAAAATTCCATTTTAAAATAGTATTCACATTCCATCAAACAAAATAGCAACACAGCATGGCAATCTTCTCAACTTTTGAATTTCTTGTGGACTATTTTCACATTAAACACTTTAATCACTACACAAAAGATAAAGAAAACAATGGATTGCAAAGATTTCCTACTCTTGTGAAGTCTACAATATGATTTGGGACTCCTTATTAAAGCAATTGATACAAGAAAGTGAGGTGTCTTTAGTATTTATACAAGTTCCTCTAAGAATCTAAAGCTAGGATTTTACATATGTTCAATTCAGTATTTCTGAAATCAACAGGTAGAAACAAGCACTTGGTGACAAAGATGAATTAATGCAAAAGGAAAAGTAAAAACAATTACTCTGAACTATGGAAGTGTTCTGTATTTCTGGGGTTACTAGACTGGTAACATGGATTCTCAGAAGACTCCGTCTCGGGTACAAACCTGCAGTCTTCAGACAGCTTTATAGCACTTACCTTAAAACAAGAAGCTCGGTACAGTAGCTGCACAACGTGACCAATACTTGTTTTTGATGCCTGAGGAAATCTTGGTTCCAGTCTTTGCACAACAAAAAGTACCAGAACTTTCCTTGAGAGGGCAGAACCATCTTCTAATGCCAGCAATACCAACTTCAAGGCTTCTTCTTGCATAGCTAGAAACAGTAAAGAACAAATATTATACTGAAGATGTCTGACAAAAATCTATTTGGGTATCAACTTATGGAGGTATAATTTATACCTAATTAACATGAAAAGAGTAATTTACAACATACAAAAACAATTCATTTTTAAATCTATCAAGGGCTGGCAAAAAAAACTCATAAGGTAAAAGAGCTTGTTGATCAAAGCTAGCAACCTAAATTCAATCTCTAGAGCCCAGGTAAAGGTAGAAGACAACTACAAAATTGACCTCTGATCTCCACACGTCATGTTAAATAGATCTAACATATACACATAAAATGTTAAATCTATCTGGTTTTGTTTTTTCAAGACACTGTTTCTCTGTGCAGCCCTGGCTGTCCTGAAACTCACTCTGTAGATCAGGTTAGTTTCAAATTCAGAGATCTGCCTGCCTCTGCATCCCAAGTGCTGGGAATAAAAGCATACACCACCATGGTTAGCTCACAATATTGAAAAATTTTTAAATATTTAGATTTATGTGTATGAAAGTTTTTCCTACATGTGTATGCATGTTCCATATATGTGCCTGGTGCCCATGGAAGTTATAAAAAGATATAGCACCCCTAGAACTGGAGTTTAATGATAGTATGCCACTATGTGGGTAGTGGAAATTGAACCTGGGTTCTCTGCAAGAGCAAAAAGTGATCTTAGCCACATAAATAGAAAATTTACAGCCGCATAAATAGAAATTTTTAAAGTTACCAAACAAAAATACTTTGTACTAAATAACCAATCAAAACACAGGTGTGAACAGACCTTTATGTTTTTATTATTTTTTACTTGTGGATGCCTAAGTATGAGTCTATGCATCTAAGCACAGACATCTTCTAAGGCCAGAGAAGTCTGATTACTTAGAGACTGGATTACAAGTGAGTCACCTGATGTAGATGCTACGAATCAAACTCTATAATGCAATAACTGCAGTTAACCACCGAGTCATCTTTCTGACCCAGTGAACAAAACCTTGTAGGTATAGAACAGTCAATTAGATATTGGTCTTAATGGAAAAGTAATTCATAAAACAAAGAGCTACTTTTGCAATGGTAATTCTTTAGGACATATACATTTGGCATACGTACAAAACAGATCCTGTGCCTGTCAGAAACTATTTTGTCTACAATTTTAAATAATTTTGCCTTTGGATAGAATACCTAAAGAAGGCATTAACTTTACTTATGCTGTTCTGTAGATCAGGCTGGACTCAAACTCAAAGATCCACTTGACTCTGCTTCCCAAGTGGTGGTACTAAAGGCATGCATCACCACTGCATGGCTACTTAGGTTGTTTTATAACTAGGGAAATACAGAATATTCTGGGTCAAATCACAAGGGAACATCAGGCAAACCTAAAACAACAAATAGTCTATAAAATAAATATTCTGTATTCTTCACAAATATCAACACCAAGAAAGACTGATAATGGTTCAAGATAAAAGAATACGGATGGCTGGGCATGGTAGCACAGGGCTATAATATTTAGAAGGCGAAGGTAAGAAGCCCTTGAGTTCCAGGTTAGCCTGAGCTTCTACAGTGAAATTCTGAATATAAATAAACAAGTAACACTAAAAAGAGACACAAGCTTGGTGGTACACCTTAGAAAACAATGTCATAAAATACATTTTGGGAGGAATGGACACTATTAAATATATATTACAGACTGTAGTATTACATTGTCACCAATTTTTTAACTTAATGACTATAGTCTTATCACAAAGCAGTAATACTGCTTTTAGTAAACATGCTAAAGTTCTGAATAAAGACAGGGAAATACAATATGCAACCTAGTCTAAAACATATCACAAAAGAAAATAATTACCAAATGTGGAAAAATATAAAAACTGATATATATGGCTAAAGAATATACAAGTAATTCTCTATACTATTTTTTGTTATGTTTTCAGTGAATTTAAAGTTATTTCAAACTAAAAAGTTAAAAATACATTGTAATCTATCAAAACAATGGAACTTTAAAACTGCAAAATCAAGAATATAGATTCAAAATCAAATCCCCCTTTTCAAAGTGAGGCTATTATGACTCAAATTAGAGATAATATCATAGCACCATCATTAGTTAAGAACAAAACTGGAGTTAACTGAGGACATTACAAAATTCTGATTTTTATTTATTTATTTATTACGTATACAATAGTCTGTCTACACGTACACCTACATGCCAGAAGAGGGTATCAGATCTAGATGGTTATTAGCCACCATGTGGTTGCTGGGAACTGAACTCAGGACCTCTGGAAGAGCAGCCAGTAGAAGCACTCTTAACCTCTGAGCCATCAGCCCAGTATCCAAGTGGGTGCCCTAGTAAGAGGAACAGGGACTGTCTCTGACATGAACTCAGTGGCTGGCTCTTTGACTACACCCATCCCCAATGAGGGAGGTGCACCCTTACCAGGCCACAGAGGAAGACAATGCAGCCAGTCCTGATGAGAACCCATGAGCTAGAGTCAGACGAAAGGGGAGGAGGACCTCCCCTACTAGTGGACTTGGACAGAGGCATGGAAGTAGATGAAGGGGGGTGGGTTTGGAGAGAATGAGGGAGGGGGCTACAGCTGGGATGCAAAATGAATAAACTGTAATTAATATAAAATAAAATTTTAATTAAAAAAATTGGAGATAGAATTTTAATAAAGTTAACCTCTTTAAGAAACAGGTCTGGGAGCTGAGTGTGGTAGCCTATGCCTTTAATCCTAGCATTTTAGGAGGCAAAAGGAGGTAGATCTCTGAGTTTGAAGGCAGCTTGATCTATAAATCAAGTTCCAGGGCAGCCAAGTCTACAAAGAAAAACCCTGTCTCACAAAAAACAAAAAGAACAAACAGGCCTGGGGACATAACTTAGGCTGTAGTTCTTTCTTGCCTAGTATATACAAGACCCTTGATTCCATCCCAGCACAGTAAACAAAAAGCTGGTTTGCAATATCCAGTGGCATTTAGTATATTCTCAAGGTTGAACAATCATTAAATGTGCAAAGACATTTCACTGCTCTAAAGGAAAACTCGTAGACATCAAGAAACAATTTCCAGTAATCTTTTCTCCTTGGCAATCACTCATTTCGTACAAGTTCCACAGTATTTTTAAACATTATCTACAAGCAGCATTTATCACTCTATGGGTATAACAAATTTTGTGTTACTTCATTCTTTATATGGTTAGTACTTTAAGAAAACATATTTTGATTATGCCTTTATTAGTTGATTGATAAAGTTTATACTATAATAGTCTATATTCAAGACATATCAATCAAGATATATGTTCAAGATATCCCTATCAAGATAATGTAAGGAATGATTCCAGATAAAAGAACACTAATGAGAAGACAACTGTGGTAGCGTACACCTTTGATACCATCACAAAAAGAGGCAGAGGCAGGCAGATTGCTGTTGAGTTTGAGGCCAGCCTAATCTACAAATTGAGCTCAGGACAGCCAAGGTTACAGAGAGAAACCTTATCTCTAAAATAAAAAAGGTGATTAATTAATTAATAACAATAAAAATAAAGCACACAAAAGACAAAGCATGGTGGCACATTTGTGAAATTAACTGAGGGCCTTTGAGGCAGGGTTTTCATCCCAGGCTGGCCTCCAACTCACCTTCCTACTTGATCCTCCCAAGTGCTAAGATTACAGGCATGCATGGTCATGACCTGCTTGTGCTCAACTTTTAATTATAAATATTACTACTATAAACATTTGTGTCCAAGTATCAGTTTGAGTATCTGATCTCTATTATTTTTTTAAAGGCCCAGTAAACTCCTGGGTCATATTTAACTTTAGAGGAATTGCCAAAATTATACCTCCAAAAGACAAAAACTTGATTCAAAAGTGCATCAAAAACTTAACAGTCAAATAAGAGACGGGTAGAGAACAAGCCTATATAGCAGAGGTTCTCAACCTTCCTAATGCCGTAACCCTTTAATACAGTTTCTCATGTTGTGGAGACCCCCAACCTTAAAAGTTATTTTATTGATACTTCATAACTGTAATTTTGCTACTGTTATGAACTGTAATATAAATATACAATATGCAAGATTTCTGACATCTGATCCCAAGGGGGTCACAATCCATATAGGTTGAGAACCACTGCTACATATGACACTGAAATTCTTTAGTTAGTACAGAAATATAAATCAAAACCTGCAAGAGGCTGCAGAGTGAAGCTTTGTTTTAATTCTTTTTGTTTTGGTTTTGTTTATTTTTTCTATTTTTCTGAGACAGGGTTTCCCTATGTAGCCCTGACTATCCTGCAACTCATCTATCAATCAAGCTGGCCTCAAACTCAGAGATCCACCTGACTCTGCCTTCCGAGTGCTAGGATTAAAATCATATACCATCACATCTAGCACCTGACATAAGTCCCCAATAACATAATATTTTACCCTTAAATACTTCAGTATGTATTTCTAACAGGTGTTGCTCTTTAAATTTTTAACATCTGATCATTATCACATCTAACAAAAGTAATATATTTCCTTAATCAATATCTAGTCCACATTTTATTTTTCCAATTGTCTCAAGACATTTGCTTATAATTGGTTCAAGTTTTCAAAGATATTTAAAAAGCACTTAATTCTTTTGCCACATTTCAGTCTGGCTGTCCCAATGTCTCTCATTAAAAATGTTTCCTAATACTCTTGTCTCAAAAAACTAAACACAAAACAAAAAGTTTCCTCAGAGCTGAAGTTATGGCTCAGTGGTTAACAGAACTTGCTACTTTTCCAGAGGTCTTGAGTTTAGTTCTGAGCACCCTAGTCAGTCAGTCCCAACCACCCATAACTCCAGTTCCAGGGTATCTGACACCCTCTTCTGGCCTTCTTGGGTACCTGCATACATGTGATACATACTCACAGACAAATAAACTTAAATAAAAATAAATCTTTAAAGAAAAAAATGTTTCCCAGCTGGATGTAATTCCAGCTCAGGCAGAAGGACTACAGAGTTGGAGGCTAGACTATACTATTCACAAAGTAGTCTAGGCCGGCTTTGGCTACACATGAAACTATTTAAAACAAACAAAAACCCAAAACCTTTCAAGTAAAATTTGTTTCCTATACACATTCTACCCAAATTACAGATCTAAATCAAAAGATAACAAACTTGCAATAATCAAAGTACGTCATAACTTGGTATAAAGATTGTTTGAAACAGGACATACATAGTATTGATCATAAAGGAATTTCATGCTGGTTTAATACTTTTTATGTTTTCCAAATGTTAACAATCAATCAGAAGTTTACTGTTTATATCACATGCCTTCCCCCCAATAGTTTACCTTCCTTGACATACTACCTGTGCAGTTATAGGACCCTTCTTAAATTAGTTTTCTAATTTGCAAATTGCAGATGAGCCCTCTATCTCACCGATGCCTGAGAATTAAAAGAGAAAATTTTTCCAAAGTACTGACTATAAGAATAGACTATGACTTACACTTATCCTATGTCAGGATACATAGCATTTTTACTTAGCCCTAAAAATTTGCATCCTCCAGGCCTGATGACCAATAAAAACACTAAGATGGCGATTTATTTTACCTGGCCCTAGAAACTGGCATCCTCGAGCCCTGACAGCAGCCCACAGGTTGGCAGACAGCTGCTGAGGGTTTTGGTGCTGCAGTATCAGTTCTGTCACAGTTCTTTCTCCTAGTGAACGGGCAGCTCTCATGGCTCTGACACGACCTTCTTCCTCCACCAGTTGACAGTTTACAAGTGTAACTAGTTTCCTTTGCATTGGACGGCTCAGGGCACTCTGGTTCAAGCTAGCTACGCCTTTAACAAACAGAGACAAAAGACACTCAACATTTTTCAATTTAAAAAAGATAATTTTCATCATCTGTATTTAATTATTAAATAAGTTCTTTTTAAGTCCCTTGTCTGATAATTTTATTTTTTAACTGAATATTCTGTCCCTGTTTCTTACCATTCTCTAAAAATAAAGAGCCTAATTCTTTAAATACGTCACATTTCATTTAGGTGTCTTGTTCTATAGGCTGGATCTGTCCAAAAAGCATTTTGGGATTTACTTTACTCTCCATCTTTAATAAAGGAACTGGAGGTAAATTTACAGACAAATGAATGCAAATTTTAACCTTAAAAAGTAACAATTAATAGTGGTTATTTTAAAAAATGAAATTGCACAGAAGAAATGTGTAACACTACTTAATTGTAGTTCTTATATTCTCTTCCTGTGAACCTATTACTCAGGGCCCTGCATAATACATTTTCCCCCACTGCTTAATCATTTCTACCAACAAAATAGTAAGAACAAGTATGCCACTGTTTGACCCACCTGAAAAATATAAACAGATTGTTTTTAAGTGATCCTTCTTCCTTGTTGTCTTATTATTTCTTTACTCCCTTGTATAGTAAATCTATGATCTGCCTCTCTCTCACTGTTCTCTATTTTCGAGACAGTCTCATTATATAGCCCACACTGCCCTCAAACTTCTGATTCTCCTGCTTTTAGCCTGGCTATCTTGTACATTTTCTATATAAACTATTTCCAACCTCTTGCTTTACAATCTGGAAAACCTATTCCAATTAAGGTTTTGCCACAATACCTCTTATACCAAACTGTCCATCAAGACAGTTACATCTTTGATAAATCTATACTTAATCTTCAACCTTTATTCTGACTTTCCAATAACTTTTAATATGAGTAACTTTACTCTTTAAAGCACTTTATTTTACTTTCCAGAACACTTTCTTAGTTTTCTTCCATCTAGTATCCTTTGACACCAGTTTTTAAGCCTCTACCCTGATCTACCTGCTTAAAGAGACTTTCTTAGATGATCTCATCCAGTCTCATTGCTCTAAAAATTATTTATGTCATAATAATCCCCAAAGTTTACAGACCATGCACCTCATGCTTAATTTAAAACTCATATATGCCTGGTTACTCAGTAATATCTAAGTCAGCGGTTCTCAACCTGTGGGTCAAAACTCCTGGGGGGGGTGTCAAATGACCCTTTCACAGTGGTTACATATCAGAGATCCTATGTTTACCAGCAAAATAGTAAGTTAAATGTTAAATTTAACCAGTTAAATGTTTACATTATGATTCATAATGGTAGCACAATTACAGTTATGAAGTAGCAACTTTGTAATTGGGGGTCTTCACAACTACAAAGGAACGGAATTAAAGAGTCACAGCATTAGGAAGATTGAGAACCACTGCTCTAAGTGCATCTTAAGATATCTCAAAATTCCTATAACCAAAACTAAACTTGAGCTTCTTACACAAACCAGCCCATAAGCTGCAGCAACCTTCTTTGCAGGTGCTCAAGCAAAACACTTTAGAAGTTACACTGGCCTCTTCTACTCGGCCTCTCAAGGCAAATTCAGTTAATATTTTGAGGGAAATATTGTCTTACCTTCAAAATGTATCAAACTTGGTAACAAGCTCCACTTTTACTAACCTTGCCTCAATTGCCTGTTTGTTTTTACTTTTGTCCCTCTATATAGTCTCAAGAACAACCAAAATGATCCTTTTAACATTAGTCAAATTATGTAACCACTTTGTTCCAAACTACTCCCCAACTTTACTCAGAGCAAAAGCTCAAGTCTTAAATGGTCCAAGTCGGTCTATCTCCCTGCTTTAACTATATATATTTCATATTTTTCTTGTGACCCTCTCCTCACTCATTACTCTAAGCACACTGTCTTCTTACCACAAGCATAATATGCTGGATGGCTATTCCCTCTGCCTAAAAAACACTTTTCCAGGATCTACATGGGTACCTAGCTCACCTCTTTTATCTCAATTCAATTTCAAAAGTCACATTCTAAAGCAGGACCTCATTAGATATTCTTAAAATCTATAGATCTTTAAGTCTTTATCCTTTCCCATTTTTTAATCCTTGTGTATTTTTATATCAATTATCATTTACATTATGTAGCCTAACTCATCACACTGTTTATTATAGTTTTTTTTTTTTTTTGCTACTGAAATACAAGTACTACACATAGGTGACAGTTGTATTTTCCAAAGTATCTCAAGCATCCTAAGTCCATGTTTTATTAACAGGCACAAAATAAATATTTGATTCATTCAATAACTATTACATTTATAAGGAATAGCTAGCTAATCACTAGAAAAGTAGTGATAAACTAAAATTCTGCTTTTGTCAAAGCAATTAAAATAACTTAATATGTGTATACCCATCCAACAGACAGTGGACTTTATGACAGGTAGTGACTCTAGCCACTATTAAAGAGCTCAACACTAACACTTGACCAAGTATTAATACTAATAAAATGCTTATAAACTTACCTTTGCCTCCACTTAGTGGTTTTAAGTAGAGTGCCAAATCTTCAACACATTTTTTTGCCACTTCATAGTGTTTATTCTCACCTAGATTACTTAACTTTATTGATTGATGATCTGGTACCTAAAAAAAAAAGGTTTCATTCATTCAGCTCATGTAAGATCTCTCCTTATATATCTGCTAACAATCTTAGTGAATATAAAATTGTTATATAGAGATACTACATCAAAGCCATTTAAGTGAACTTAAAATGGAACTGAAAAGTTAGCAGTATTTTATAAATGTTACTCTTTTAGAGTGCATTAATAGTGCCATGATTATGAAAGATGTTAATATGACATGGCTGGAGACATGGATTAGAGGGTAAGAGCATGCATTGCTTTTCCAGAGGATCCAAGTTTAATTCTCATCATCCACATTGGGCAGCTTACCATTACCTGTAAATCTAGCTCCAAAGGCTCCAACACCTTGGCCTCTGCAGGTACCTCACTCACATGCACATATATACACACATACACAACACAGAATTTTTTTAAAAATTTTTTGAGACAGGGTTTCTCCTTGGCCTTGGCTGTTCTGGACTTGCTTTGTACCCTAGGCTGGCCTCAAACTCACAGCAATCTGCCTGACTCTGCCTCCTTAAGCGTTGGGATTAAAGCCATAAAAAAATTTTAAAAGATACTAATATGAGGAAAGTTCTACAGGTGTCCTTGGTACTACTTTACTTCAACTTCTAAGTATAAAAGTATTTCAAAACAAAATTAAGAAAGAGAGTCAGGGATTCTGTCTGCATCCCATACCATTTACTACTGCTTCAACATGACTTACCTATTAAATTTAAAATTTATAATCTATACCCCCTTGGATAGAGATGTAACCAGAATTGTAACTCACTGAAGAGAATTCCCAACTAGCACATGTGAAGACCTCCATTTAATTCCTAGCACCAGAAGAAGAAAAAATAGTGTAGGTAAACTTAGGGTTCTGTATGCCTATGTCTGACCTTGAGAAAAATTTAGTTCATATCATCTCATGTGTCCATACTATCAATAATTCAAAGAGAAAATGTCTTACCTCAAAGAGTTTAAAGTCTATAGACATTAAGAGACAGTCAATAAATAAACAAATATATAAACAAATACTATGTTAGAAGGTGATCAATGAAAATACATCACATTCATAAATGGAATGAGAAACAGGGAGAGGACTGGAGAGATGGCTCAGTGATTAAGAGCCACTGTTCATCTTCTAGATGAGGCAGGTTCAATTCCTATCACCCATCTTGGGTAACTCAGTATTTGGACTGTGCACATCACTACAATACATGAATAGACACACTCACACAGTTAAGAAAAAAAGTAAATTAAAAAAAAAAAAGAAAGAACTGGAGAAGAGTTGCAGTTTACTGGTATAGTCAGGATGAACTTCCTGGAGAACTGCAACATTTGTAAATACTTGAAAGTAGAGAGTAAGAACTCATTGTAGGCAAAAACATTTTCAAAATCCCCATGCATTAATATACACAGCATATCTGAGAACTGGTTAGGAGACCAATATAAATAGAGATAGTGACGAGATGAGAATGAAAAGATGTATGATAAAATACACAGATCCATAGGTTATTTTAAGTACTAAAGTAACATATATTTAGAAGGAACACTAAGAGCTACTAGAGCTATAGGAGACAGAAAGTAGCTAGTATTGGATTTTAAAGTGCAACTGTTGGCAAGAGACAGCATAATTTATGATACATTAGGAAAAGTATGCTACCAAATAAACCATGACAGTATTGATTACAGAATCACTGTCTTGATTTTAAAACAGTGAAAATAGATTTTGAGCATTAAAAGAACAATTCTACCTATCAAGACATGAATATAGTAAATTATTAAATTTCGTAAATAAACCAAGAAATTTTCTTATAAAACTGTAAACTCTGTGCTTTAGTTAGTTTTGGGTTTGCATATTTTTGTGGGTGTTTCTTGTTTCACTTGACTTTTGAGACAGGGTTTCCCTGTGTTGGCTAGAACGGAACTGAACTGTATCTTGATGCCTGGAACATTGAGTTTTCAGGCATGTGCTACCAAACTAGACCACTACTTTCTTCTTTCTTACTTTAACATATACTTTTTGTGAAATTTCACCTTCTCTTCTTCTGTAAGTAGGGGTAATGGGTACCTAAAGAGCTAAAGTAAGAATTAGAAATGGCATTCAGAGTATTTATTTTCATATGTAACATAGAACAGACCCTCATCAAATAAAAGTTGTTTATCAAATCTAGATTCTTCTTACAATTCAGTGAAATTATATGAAATAATCATTGTACAACATAGAGGCATAAAATGTTATGCAGAATTTATTACTAATAATTTATTTTCTCATTTACAACCAAAGTCATAAATAACACCAACAAATTCTCCGCCTGAGAGCTTTAGTTGGTTTGTTTTTACCTAAATTTCTGATTTTCTTTTCAAATGACTTAAAAAAGAAATGCTGATATATTCATGTACCAACTGTTTCTCTACCAAAGCACTTATATACATAAATTCAAGCCTTGGTATTGAGAAAGCAAAGAAATATATAATTGCAATGGGATTCATTATTATGCTTAAGAATTTATAGCATTAAGAAAAATCTTTTAGCCAGCAAGGTTGTACACACCTGTAATTTGTAATCCCATCCCTTGGAGAGGCAGAGGCAGGTGGATCTCTGTGAATTGGAGGCCAGCCTGGTCTACAAAGTGAGTCCAGGACACCCAGGTCTACACAGAAAAAACCCTGTCTCAAAAAAACAAAAACAAAAACAAAAAACAGAAAAAAAAAAGAAAAGAAAAAAAAACTTTTTAGAACACCTCACAAAAAGTAAACAAACTGATACCTTGTAGGTTTCAATTACAAGTCAACATACTCAGTACCAGCTAGTGAACTAATTCTGACAACTGATATAGTAAATCAGTAAAACTACTGAACACTTACCTGGGCTCCAACTAACTGAAGAAGTGCAAAGTTGACAGGGAGCACATCAATGTCTGTGTTTATGGCAGTCTGGTCAAAAGGACACGCTTTTCGGTGAAGTTTATTTAAGCAGGTCTTGCAAACTGTGTGTGAACAACCTAAACTGATGGGTTTGTGCACATTCTCATCAAATTCATTATAGCAGATTGGACAGGACAGAAATTCTGTCCATTGAGCTGCCTGCACAGGCATTGTGGAAGCTGATGCTCGGGTTAGCAGTCTAGCAGATCATTATTTTGCTGTGTAGTGTTTTGTAAGCTGCAAATGGACAAAAGGAAGAATTAATGATATATTTATTAGTCATTCAGTTAACTGTTAAAATCAACCACCATCACTCCAGAAGCACAACCTTTCTAAATATAGGCTTCAGGTGTCTCTATAAAAATAAACAACAAAACTATATGTTGCAATTTTTAAAACATCTTTTACTTTTTAGGTTTTTTAAGACAAGGTTTTTCTGTGTAGCCCTGGCTGTCCTGGAACTCACTCTGCAGACCAGGATGGCCTCGAATTTAGAGATCCACCTGTTTCCCAAGTGCTGGGATTAAAGGTGTGTGCCACCTCCGCATAGTATAATCTAAATTGCACTAATTTAGATTTACTACAATCTAAATTATACTACTTAACTTTAAAATCTTCAATATTTTCCAGTTTAAAACTTAGGTAAGTCTGACAAAGGCTGTCAGGTTAAAAACAAATCTAGGTATTTAGGATAATTAAACAGCCAGTAAGTACTTTATTTCATACAAATGTTTATCAACCAAATACATTACACATACAGAATATTAGATGCTTGAAATAGTAGTCAGCATCAGGAGAGAAACATGTAACAGCAAGCACTCCTCAGCACCCCAAGAGACAAGCAAAAACTCTAGACCCTTACTGTGCTTTAACCTTTAAAAAAAAATTCAGCTTGGAGGTGGTGGCACAGGCCTTTAATACCAGCACTCAGGAGGCAGAGGCAGGCAGATCGCTGTGAATTTAAGGCCAGCCTGGACTACAGAGCAAGTTCCAGGACAGCCAGGGCTAGAGGGTGAAACCTTGTCTTAAAACACACACACACACACACACACACACACACACACACACACACACACACGTAAAAAATGTTTAAAAATTGCAAAAGTTTTTTGTTGTAGTTTTGTTTTTTGGAGACAGGGTTTCTCTGTATATCCCTGGCTGTCCTAAAACTTTTTTTGTAGACTAGGTTGGCCTCAAACTCACAGAGAGCCCCCCAAGTGCAGAGATTAAAGGTATGTGTCACCACCACCTAGTTGTAAAAAGAATTTAAAAATTACTTGGTAAACATGAGTTACAGGTCTTACTATATAAAAACACATTCATACAATGTACAAATTTTACTAAGCAGCTCTAATGCAGAAAAAAATTACACATTAATATCAATATATTTACTTCTAAGCAACTAAATTTTGTCAAGTTATAAATTATTTTTACACTTTATCCTCAAACTGTTTAGAGCCACCACTCTAAAACCAGCTAGTCTGCTTCCAATTGTACAGATCCACAATAAGCAGGTGAGCAAATCCTTCCTGAAACTAACATACTTGATGTTCTCTTTTCTGGCTGCAGAATGATAAATCCAAGCAAAAGAAGAATTTCATTTTGCATCTATGACTGGAACTCTATTTTTCTAGAAATTTGTGTAGAAACACTAACTCTGCTAAGTTAGGGTATCATAAGCTGCTTGGCAGCAGCAGACAAGAACTAACAGCTTTTTCCTTAGTTCTCCAAGACCACTGGGACAGTGCTCCAGATACACCAGATATCTCTGTAATATATGTCTGCACATATATATACACAGATCAGAGCTTTTAATACTGCTGACAAATTTAATTCATATTAGAAATTAGATAAATGACTCTAAAATGTAAATAGCTCTAAATCAAACGTTGACAGTATCTGTCAAATTCTTTCCCTCCTGTATGCCAGACTCTTGACAGGAAACTTATGAACTAAACTTTCCTTAGATATGATCTGATTCCTAAAAATGTTTTTCTTCAGCACTATATTCAACAAATTCTGTTACTCAAAAAGAACTTAACATTTTACCCAAAACATAGAAACTTGCATAGCGTATTAAAATATTTCATTAGTGACATCACTGGAATTTCAACTCTATTTAAAAGGTACTTTTTAAGCTCATCTACAAAATACTTTTACAACTACCCAAAAATGATACACATCTTATTATTATTGTTGTTATTATTTTTATTTTGAGACAGGGTTTCTCTGAGCAGCCCTGGCTAAAGACCAAGCTGTCCTTGAACTCACAGAGACCTGCCTGTATGACTCCTCAATGTTGGGATTGAAGGTGATCGCCACCGCACTCCAGCCTATTATTTTTATAGTATTAGGTAAAGCGTAATAGCTGGACACAGTGGCACATGCCTATAATTGCAGGACTAGGGGAGGCAGAGGCAGGCAGACTTCTGTGAGTTTAAGAACAGCCTGGTCTAAAAGAAACCCTGCCTTGAAAAACCAAAAAGAAAAAAAAAAAAAAAAAAAGGAAAGAAAAAAGAAAAGCATAATAGGGGCTAGAAAGACGGCTCAGTGGTTAAAAGCACTGGTTGCTCCTCTAAAGGTCCTGAGTTCAATTCCCAGCAACTACATGGTGGCTCACAACTATCTATCTGATGTCTTCTGTCATGCATGCATACATGCAAATAAACAAATACTTTAAAAAAATTATATAAATGAACAATGGAAAGCTCATCATGTTAATTTATAAAACCTTTAGGCTTACAGTGATATATTTTAACAACAACTTATTTGGTTCAGTGGATATCGTAGTTGCTGCTAACATTTATAGTGACTAATGACGTACTTCTCCCTAAATATACTTCCCAAACATTTCAGTTGTGATAAAAAATTAAAAAGCTCAAAAGCCTGGGTGCCTACAGAGCTTAAGAAAACATTCTCATTTTGTATTAATTTTAGTAACTACTTTTTAAAACTGAAAAAGCCTAAGATAAAGCAAAGGAGGAAAAGGCTAATTTAGAGGCAGAACCTTAAAACAGTCTTAGATCACCAAGCTGTAAGTTCCTTGCTATGAGCCCAAACTCAGGATATATAAAGACTAACAGACTTGTCTTATAGATGCAAATTAGAAACTTCCTTACCAAAATAAATGGCATACCAGCTACACAGTTTCATTTTCTGTTACTAACATTACACAGCCAGTTCAGGACCATGACACTTACTTTTAAAAAGTCAGAATAGAATGTATGTCTTTTTCACTGTTTTATCTGTAACACATAATAGTGTAGCACAGTATTTTTATAATTCTGTTTACAAAATATATACTTAGATGTCGGTTCTGTTACTTTAAACAATCATTATTTACATTTGGGAAAAGCTAATGAAATGGACTAGACCAGTACTTCTCCATATAAAACGTATCAATATAATTAGCTTTGTTTAAGGATGTGGCTCAGTGGTAAAACACTTGCCTAATGTTTGTGAAGCTTTAAATTCAATCCCCGGTACTGCAAAACAAAACAAAACACTGCTTTAGATTTAAAATCATACTGAAAGCATCAGAAACAATGTTAAGACTTAACCTAAAAAACATGCAAACAAAAGCTAAGGAAAATTACGTGCAACCTCTACAGCTCAGTACTCAAGTATAACAGAGTTTGGAGGAAAAAAAGATGCTGTACCACAATGTTAAAAACTGCTATTTAGTTTTAAGCTGTAAAATCAAGTTTTACTCTTCAAATTAGGGGGTTGAACCCAGTATTTAAAATAAGACAGAACTTTCAATGCATTCTAATAGGGAAATAACTTCCAATTGTAAGTAAAAAAGGTTCTACTTCTTTAGTGATGGCTAAACTTGAAAAACTTTGAGACAACTTAATTATTTGTTTTTTTGCCTTTATAAAACCATATCTATCCATCTATCTATCTATCTATCTATCTATCTTTTTTCTTTATTTCTTTTTTGTTTTTCAAGACAGGGTTTCTCTGTGTATACCCGTGGCTGTCCTGGAACTCACTCTGTACCCAGGCTGCCTATCTCTGTCTACCAATGCTGTGATTAAAGGCATGTGGCACCCAGCTAACTTTATCTTTCTTATTACTAAAGTTCTTAGCACTCAAGGAATTTTGACTCTAAAAAGATATCATTGGGAAAGTTTTTGGTTTCACATGTATTTATTTATTGTGTCACTACTTGGCAGTTGACTCCTATAAATACTCAGGAAGTTCAGGGCAAAAGGATGGCTGAGAAGTTAAAGGCTAACCTAGGCTACAGAGTGAGTTCCAGGTCAGGCTAGGTTAGACTGAGACCCTGAATAAAAAAACTGCTAAGTTATCATGGCACATGCCTTTAATCCCAGCACCCAGGAGGCAGAGGCTGGTGGAGCTCTGTAAGTTCGAGGCCAGTCTGGTCTACAGTGTGAGTTCCACGACAGCCAGGGCTACACAAAGAAATCTTGTCTGGGGTCGGGGATGGGACATGGACGGACACCAGACTACACATACCAAAAACACAACAATTTCTGTCTGTCAAATTTTTAAAAAAGGAAAAAGAACATAGATGAATCAATTTTAGTGGTATATTTTATACAACATAAGTAAAATATCATTTTAACAAGTTATCATGTAAAAACTTAAATATTAAAATGTTATAGAGTTTCCCATTAAGTCTTTGGGGCCAGGTGGTGGTAGTGCATTCCTTTAATCCCAGCACTCGGGAGGCAGAAGCACGTCGATCTCTTTGAGTTCCAGGCCAGCTGGGTCTACAAAAGGAGTCCAGGACATCCAAGGCTACACACAGAAACCCTGTCTCCAAAAACCAAAACAAGAAAACAACAACAACAAAAACACAAATAACCCATTTCAAATTACACTAGCCCCATTTCAAGTCCTTCACTGTCACATGTGGCTATCAGGTAGTACAGGTAAATCTAGACTACAAATGATAATAATACTCGAAATCTGATTTTTATTAGAAATTTTGAGGTAAGTCACACATTTAAGGTTTTAATGGAATTAGAACACTCGATCACAAAGATGTAATTAACAAGATTCATGAGACTGAATACAATTTATTTTTAATTTCCAATTAGCTTTATTTTATTTTATTTTATTTTATTTTATTTTATTTTATTTTATTTTACCAGACTTCCTTTTTCCATCACTAGGAAGTGAAACTTCAACCCAATTGAACCAAAAATAAGCAAGTACTTATGTCAACCTTATTAGAGCCAGGAATGGTGAGGGACACCGTTAGCCCCGGCATTCATGAGGTGGAGGCAAGCAATCTCTGTGAGTTTAAGTCCAGCCTGGTCTACAAGGTGAGTTCCAGGACAGTCATGGCTATGCAGAGAACTTTGTCTCAAAAAACAAAACAAACAATCAAAAAAACTTTTTTTATGAATTTATAGCATTCTTACCCACCATACACTATGAAGAAGTCCTAGTTTTAAACATAAAATCCTGAGTGTAGGAAAAAATGCCTTTGCCTACTGGAAAGCAGTAAATTACAAACACAGAAACTGAATTAATGAAAACATGAATAAGATTAAGTCTTCTTGCATGTCAGACTAACAAAACAATGACAGATCAGAGTTAATTCAAATGATCATCTAATAAACTAGACTACAATTAGATTCTCAAATAATAAAAAGCTGTTTTTCACTATGATACCTGCCTTTTCTAAACAAGACTAGAAAATATATTTAAGGTTTTATTCTTCTAGCAATTTTCCAAACTCTGAAATCTGGAAAACATGAATCACCAAATCAACAAAAAAGTGGCAATACTGGAAAATAGCTTTTAATAGGATGTGATAGACTCTATTTTTTCAAGAGCTGTGTTAGCAAACAACTTAAGACACAAATGTTGAGGTCAAAACAGTGATGCAGTTTTTTAACCAGATGAAAGGTGGAACTAAGAATCCAAAAGCTATTCTTAATGATTTCAAGTCTTTGGCTGTGTATACAATTAATCATAAAAGACTGAACCTACCAACTAAAACACGTGTTTCTTTCCTACTTGGTCAAATAATATCACTTATTCCCTCCTCAGATTAACCAAAAGTTTTTACTAGAACTTTAAATGTGATTAATAAAGATAATGGCAGTAAGATACTTAAACACTTCATTTGGGATATAAAGTCACTCTAATCATAGTGGGTCAAGGTGAGAAATTACTAAGGGTCCTAGGTAAGACAGAGGAATTAAAAATAACTGAGGTAGAGCTTAAGCAAAAAATATAAACAGGTTGAGAATCACTGAATTTGATTACTTTATGTTCTTGATTTCTTGAGACTATTTTGGTGTGAAAGATGTGTCTGGCAGTATCTTAAAACTCCAGTGATTTCAAGGATGGAAATGACAGCTACCCTTATCTCCTTCCTTCTTGAAAGCTAAGGACAGAGAAAAGTACAGCTGTTTCTCTTGGAAACAAAGATGCTTTCTACCATTCTCCTAAGATGGTGGAAGAGTCTCCTCAAGAGGCTCCCCCAAGGAAAATAAGACGAAAGAGGGAAAGAAAGCTATAGCAGAATTCCCTGGCTGTGCTTCATGCCATTGCTCCTAGTCACATCCCTTGCGTACCCTCTCTGGTCCAGCCATCTCCCTCCAGAGAGGTTAAGACCTCCGTGGGCATTGTTTGGCCAGGGTCCCCTATTTACACCACTCAGATCGCCTCCACCATCCCAGCGCTGGGGTCTCGGTAAGCCCCGGAACTGAAAAGGAAACCCTAAAGACAGGACCTGATCTGGGGGACCTCTTCGAAAGCCCCTATTCCTAACTGGGGTAAGCAAAGAAGGAAGCCGGCCTCTGCTCGGGTGGGCTCCTCAGTGGTCAGAGGCGTCCCTTCAGCCGGTGTCGGAGGAAGGTGGCCATTTGAGCGTTTCGCTTCGCATCAAAAAGCCCTACCGGAGCGAGGGGCCTCCTCGGGGCCCGGGTTCCGCCGAGTGTCAGGTGCGGCCCGCGGCTCCCAACCCTCGGGGCACCGGCGGCCACCGTGCACAGGCCGCCGGGCAGAGACAGCTCCCCGCCCCACCTCTGGGGACCGGGCAGCGGGGCCAGGGCCCCAGCCGCATCGTGCCCGCCCCCGCCCTACCTGAGGGGCCCGGGCGGGGTCGCTAAGGGCCGCTCCCGGGGGCCCCGCGACGGCGCGGCTCGGCGACGGAGGCGCCTCGTCTCGCCGGGGCAGAGCTCGGCGGCGGTTTCAGGGCCTCAAACTCCATCGGGAGCTACAGGGACAGCCCCGTTGGCGGCGGCAAAGGCCGCGACGGGGCCTCCTCCTCCTCCCTCCCTCCGCCTCCTCCTCCTTCTCCTCCTCCTCCTCACCACGGAGGCGGACCTGGAGGGATCCCGACTTAGCTCTCGCGAGAAGATACTGTTCACTTCACGCGAGATTACGCAAGCCCGGGAGTGGGGGTGGAAGGGAAGCGTAGTGGCCCCCGCGACCCAAACTGCGCATCAGTTTCCCTCTGGAGAGAGCCACCCTAGTCACATGACAAGGGAGCCCCAGAGTACTGTGGGAGATGCTGTGAGCACTAGGCAAGCCTAAAGGACTTACGGGAAACTCCCTGTCTAGAGCCAGGCGGCTTGCGGTAGGTATTGAGCCAGCATTAAACTTACACGGTGAAAAACTTACCGTCCATTGAACAGAACCTCATATATCCATGTTGCATCCTACTTTACTCTATCGTAATGAGATACTGACCAGAACAGCAAATAATTCTGCAGTTTATAAAAAACAGGGCCAAAGTGAAAACGTTTGGCAACCCTCCCCTACCTCATCTAAAACCCCAAAGACTTCAAAGGGGAAGGATCAAAATTTTACAAGTTTCGGAACTGTGTAACTCAGTATTTGTTAGAGGACTTATGGCAAACTGTAAGGTAGGCATTATCCTTTTATGCTCTTATAAATGAAAAACTGGAAATAAGGACGAGAGAAGCAACAATTATGAACTACTATATAGCAAGCTGTATAACTGGTATTTTAGTTTTACTTAAAATTATCAAAGTAATCCTAAAAGGCTGATATTTTGTATCCTTTGTTAGTGATACACAACTGAAAGTAAAATGAGATCTTCAACAACAAGAACCCATAATAGTAGTTTAGAATATGGAAAAATAACTTCTGAGGCTTTAAGATATCTGAGTTTTAACTAGATGTGATGGTGCATGCCTGTGAGCACAGCAATTGAAAGGTTGAGACAGAATCAGACTAGGTAGCACTGCAAAAATTCATCCTATTACCCAATATTTGTGTACACACAGACACACACGCACACCACAGCAGCTAACAACTACAGCTCCAAGAGGGACTCAAAGCTTCTGGAAAGCGTGACAAGAAAAGATCAAGGTTTTTTGTTTTGTGAAAGACCCACTGCCCCCCAGTAGTGTGTGTACACGTGTGTAACCCTGGCTGTACTGGAACTAGCTCTGTAGGCCAAGCTGGCCTCGAACTCAAGGGTTCCTACTGCCTCTCCTGGGCTTAAAAGCTTGCACTACAACTGCCTGGCAGCTCCACTGGTCTTACATTCCTATTTTCACTCACTTATGCTAACCAAAAAAGAAAATTTCCCAACAATTAGATGCACAGTACTGGTTGGTTGGTTTATTTATCAAGGCAGGATATCTTGTATAGTTCCAGGCTGTCCTGGAACTCCCTCTGCAGAGAGATCCAACTGCCTCCGGCGTGCTAGGACTAAAGGTGTGCGCCATCACCACTTAGCACATTTCTGTATTTTCAAATGGACAGTGATGAGTAATTTTATAGGTTTCCTACCCTACTGTGTACCTAAGTATATATGTTTGTGAATTTTCCATTCAATATACTTTTCCATTTCACAGAGGAAAGATTCCCCAAATGTGGAAAGCCACATTAAGAGAAACAATCCCATCTGCTTTTCCCTATCATTTTTTATTGCTGGCATTATTTTTCCAAACTGATTTCAAAATCTTACATACACTCTTTGTCTACCTCAACTAAAATACAATCCCTAAGATGGCTGTTGTTCTTTGTTTACCTAACTTTTAGTATCCATACAAGGAAAACCCACTAGGTAGTTCTAAAATGATTAAACAGCCAGGGGAAACTGAGTCCTTGGGCTGGGTGGATGTCGGGTGGTTAATGTAGCCAATGATTCTTGCACAGCAAGAGCATGGTTTTCAGCTCACAACTGTAACTGCTTTCCTGTAACTGCAGCTCCAAAAGGGGTCCACAGCTTCTGGCAAGCACATGCCCACCCACATAATTAAACAAGCAAACAAAACAAAACAAAAACCAAACAAAAACCCCCTACATACCAGAAGTCCCAGCACTTGGGGAAGCATAGGCAGGTGGATCTCTGAGTTCGAGGCCAGCATGGTCTACAACATATAGGACAGCCAAGGCTGTCAAATGTACAAATATCCCTCTACATACATTCATAATTTTAAAAATACTTTCTTAGGAAACAAGAAATTGAATCCTTTTAAATTCATAGAAATACACAGCCCAGAGTTCTCCATCCCCACTTCCAGTTTATTGTTTTATACAAACATAATTACATCCAATGAAAAGAGGAAAGGATTTTCTCTATAATAAAGTAACAACTACCTTCTCAAGACCTTTTACATATATAAATGCATTAAATAGAGGCACAACCTAAACATACTGCTTTTCTGTCATAAACAGCTAAAAATGCTTAAAAAGGAATAAATGCTACTTTCCTTTGTCATCCCTGCATATTTTAACAGATTCCACTTTGCTGCATTTCTCAGACACGTCATGCAAACAGATAATCGCCCAGGAATGTGTTTTGTTTACTTTTAGTTTTTCCTAAAACAAAGTCTCTGGTAGCTGAGGCTGGCCTCAAACTTAGCTATGTAAGGAAGGCTGGCACTGAATTCATTCTCTTGTCTCTCTCTCAAGTGCTGGAAAATGGATAGGCATGTGCACTTCGCAGATCTCCAGGGAATGTTTTGAAGTTAATCTGTGCATGTAACAGAAATAAATAATATAAATGACAATCACTTTACAAAACACCCTCTCACAAGCAAAACTTTCAAAGTGCTCACAATTTTCTTTTTTACAACAATCTTACAAGGCACACATCAAACTTAAACACCTTCAGTCAAAATGTTCCAAACAACCAATATAGTAGATACCACCTTCTAAAAAAAAATCCATTGTTCACTATAGTTTACCCTCCTCACCCATCTCTAAGCCCTCCCCTCCAAAATTCAACTTAGGAAGCAAAAATAAGAGAAGCACTTCAGTCACAAGTAATCTGTTTCTTAGAAGGAAATGTGCTCACACTATAACTGGCCATTCTTAAGTCACACGGGAAAAGAGATTAGCCACTGAAGCAGTTGAACAAAGCCTTTACCTTAGAAAAGTTTTGTTTTTAACAGAGTACTCAAATAGTAATGTTTCCAAAGACATAAATGTGTCCTTTGTTCACATGTGGAATATAAATTTGTAGAAATTTAGACCTAGAAATAATTCTACAAATTATGAAGGTCAAAGCTATTTAATATAAAATTAAGAAAAGCTGAAAGACAGGTTACCTGCTCCATGTCATTAAATAGTGACTTGGGTTATGAAGTCAACTGTGAGACTTAGATTCATTAAAGTCACTCCCAGGGTTAAAATTCTGTGGAGAGCATTATTCTCACAAAAGGATCACAAAAATTGTATTTAACAACTACATGATTTTCACAAAACTCTTATATAGTACAAAGTATATTACATGTTAAAATACAGAGAGTGCCAGCAGAATACAGTATACAGTAGAAACTCTACATAGAGCTGTGTTATGAAGAGAAATAGGACAGCTTGAAAGTGAATGCTTCCTATGGTCAGGGAAGGTGATTTGTCCTGCAATAAATTTTGCTCTTCATTATAAAGGCAAATTTTTTTTTTTTTAATTCAGAGGTATTCATACAAATGAGATATTATAACTAATTCTAGTAGCTTTCAAAACTTAAACTATGCACCTGGTTACTCTTCGAAAAGACATAGATAATTCAAAACAGAAAAAAGGAGTCAGGTGTAATCCCAGTGCTCAAGAAGTGAGGCAAACTTGAGGGCAGCCTGGAGTACACAAATCAAAAGTAAAATAAGAGATAAAAGATTTATTAAAAAGTAATGATTTGCTAATGTACACAGAAATGAAGTTCAATTAAATGTTGGGTTAAAAAAATCAAAAGGAAACATACTGTAAAATTCCAGTTTTATATCATCACAGATTGTAGCAAATTATAGTCATGAAGAACTCAGTAGAATTTAAAGCTAGAATGGGTGACTACAAAGGAGAAACATGAGGGAATTTGGGAAGGAAATGGAACTGTTTGTGTCCCAACTGTAGAAAATTATGTGTTAAATTCACTGAATTATGAATTGACCCAGAGAAGGGTCAATTTTAGTGCATGTTAACCAAAATAAAAGAAGAAACCCTAAGTAAACTGTAGAACAAATGTCTTTGATGAAACTGGACTATTCCCAATCTATACCAAGAAAATACTTGCATTGGCCACAGAGTTCCTAATCCAGCTATGTTATGTGTAACCAGGAAAAGGGTCCAATTATACATTCTCTTGGACATTTAAACAATGAAATTATAAGGACATTCTGCTGGTCCCATGTGAATCTGAATTGTGCTCCTTTAGTTTAAGACAATACCTTGGTGTTCTGGTTATAATTCAAGAACACTGGTTAAACATTAAAAAGAAAATCATTAGTCCCATCTGCTTTCAAAATTAATAATGACTGGCAACATTATGCTTTCAAATCTATTTTGTCATTCTAACCAATTGAAGTTACTACATAGTTAGAATCAACATTAAATCACTTATCTAAACACTACAAATCAGAATCTGCAATTACTGCTGAACACAGGACTAATACATAATGACTCAGACAACGTAGAATCTCATAAAGATTTTGAAGCCACTCACAACTTTGGAACTATTAGAAATTTATAAAGAGTAACATATAAGAAGAAAAGAAAAATTAACACTAAAGATTGGGGGAGGCACACAACAAATGCTGCATCTTGAGTGCCTAACAAAGTGATTCCATTTATTTCACAAGTTTACGATTTGATTACAGCAGATTCTGCCTTTTGAGGTCAGGCCTAGACAGTTTTTCGCCACCACTCCTGCCATGTACAGAGGTTAAGTGTTTTTTGAGAGCAGATTTGTGTTTGAAATCCATATCACAACAATGGCATTTATACGGCCGGTCACCGCTGTGTATGTTCAAGTGGTCCTGAAGTGTGCTCTTAGCGGTAAAGGTCTTCAGGCACACAGTACACTGAAAGGGCCGTATACCCATGTGTCCTCGGATGTGCCGGTTGAGGTTTTTCTTCTGTGTAAATGTTTTCCCGCACTGCAAGCACAAGAACAGTTTGTGCATCTTAAGGTGGCGCAGATAGTTTTCTACGTGAAGAAAGCCCCTCGGACACCTGGGGCACTGGTGCCTCAAGGAAAAATTCTCATCCAGGTTCTGAATCTCACTTACTGTCCCATGACTTCCATCGGTATTCTCAGAAAATAAGCCTTGATTTTGACTTCCAGGGACTTCTGCCACTCTGCTCTCAACGGTAGAATTGATCAGTGAGTGCTGTGTTTCAGGGAAGTACATGCCTGCTTTGGATGAGGTGCAGGGCTGTGAAAACTGCCCATTATCTACACTGTCTGTACTGATCGATTCTACATGGAGGATACAAATTTCATTCTCTTTAAAGCCACTGTCTACTGTAGAGAGCTCTGGTGATGTCATTCCCGTTTGCTCTGACGTCAACCTCTCCACAGCAGACTGCAGACTGCTTTCCTCTTCTTTAACGTGGAAGTCTAGGTTTACAGGGCTATCTTCTGAAATTTCAATTATCTCACAGTCTTTGTCAGAATTTTCGTCTTCATTCTTTACATCTGTATCTGAAGACTGACACAAGTCAGTGTGTTGGTTATTTTTCATAGAAAGATCAATTTCCAGATACTTCGACAAAGCTTCTGTGCATTTTTCTACAATGTGAACCATCTGAAGGTAACTGGCAGCAGTCAGGTATTTCAAAAGCTCTTTTCTTTTCACTTCAAGTGCTCCAGTATAGCAGGACAGCAACAACTTCCTGCCAACTTCTGCACTCTGCAGAATGGTGATTCTGACGTGTTTTGACTGTGTGAGTAAAAACTGATCTCTCATGAAAGTGGAGCAAGCAGCCAAAATCACTTTGTGCCCCTGGAATTCAGTATCGTTAATATAAATCGATACATCACAGAATAAATTCTGCTGTCTCAAGAGATTCATTTTCTGTAGGACCACATCTCCTTGTTGTTCAAACTGGAAATGTAGAACATCAGACTCAGCAGCCATGGTCACAATCTATGCAAAACAGAGCACAAGCGTTGGGACAGAATAAGCAATGCTTTTCCATGTTATTATCGTATTATTACCTGACTTTCCAACGTGTATTGGGAAAAATGAAGACCCAAACTCTACTTTGGGTGCTAGGTGTGAAACTGTTCCCAAATCACCATCTGTAAATCTAGAAAATCATAATGCATTCCTGTAACATCTCATGGCATGTAATTTTTTAAGTACCAGTAATGGGTACAGTGACATCAAAAGTATACTTAACACCTTAAATTAGAAAATGTACCCTTTAAATTGGCTATTAGCCACCACTACCAAAAGTCCCCAGTCCTGACAGCCTTGGCCATCGCTCAAGCAACAGGTCCTGGTCATCAACAGGTCTTCTGAGAAGGCACTCTTTAAATACCATCCTGAATTCCCACCAGAATTAACATTATGGTTAAAAATGAGGAGGAAGGAAAAAAGAGAGAAACGCTCTTATGCTTTAAGTCCACCATCTCCCCCACTTCTTAGACAGCCTTTCAAAGGCCTTCAGGATTTCAGCCAAACTCACCTTTTACAGATTGATCTTGGTCCGTCTTTCATACACCCAGCTCCTTACACTGTACTGACAAAACCAAGCGAACACCCCATTTGCCTATCTATTGCATTCACTTCCAGCTCCATTTCCCAACTCGTGCTTTAGCTTCATTGAGCACAAACCAATGATTAACATGACTCCTCCTCTCCCCGGGCATCTTTTCCTCCTTATTGTGTTCACCCAGTGGACACAGGAGCGCACACCGCAGGAAGAGCTGACATGAATCCTAGGTCGCCTGCCTGACAACTCCCTCCTGCGAGGCACACGGTTCCCACGCCGAGCCTTCCACTTCGACCGGCCAGGCGGGCGCGCGCCAGGGTGGAGCTGAGGCCGCACCGGGCTGCACTCCCGCGCAGCATAGTCTTTCTGCCTCACCCCCGGCATGTCTGCTTCACTTTCACTTACCGACTAGCAAAACTGGCTTTAAGGCTTCCGCGGCAACCGCAGCACAGGCCGGAAAGTGGACTTCGCCTGGAAGAAAACGCTTCCGGAGTCAACCAGCTTTATTCTTTGCGGAGATTGTCTGGACGCCCCGGAAGGACATCCTGTGACGCTCTTTCTTCCTCACTTTTTCCGCTCCTGGAACGACAGAGAAATGTTTGAATACCGGCAGCCGAGCCTTTTCTGGCCGTTCCCGCCGTGAAGCTGTTTTCAGCGAGTGAAGAGCGCTCACGGCCGGAAACGCCGACGAACTGAAGGGCGGGGCCGAAGGAAAGGCCATTGCGCCTCTGAATTGGAGCAGGGCCCCTTAAAGACCTGGACCCAATCTCTGGACCGCAGCTCCACCACTGTCTGCCCTCCCCTTCTTTCCTTGTTTCTTTTCCATTGACATCCTTCTCACTCTCCTTTAGACAGCCCGTCACTTTGACAATACCACTATGCGCCCTGCTCCGAAAGGATTTTTCTCTTTGGGTGATGGGAATTAAAAACAGGACCTTGTGAATGCAAATCACTGTTCTCCCACTTGCCCTTTAAAACCGGTTTATACTGGATACACATTATCTCTAACCTGCTCCTCAATAAGTTTGGACCCAGTTGGAAATGATTTATCTTCAAAACTGCATTTACATACCCACATGGAAAAGCATGCCACATCAAGGAAAGGAGATTATGTAGGACAATATTTACCGTTCTTTACATTCGCAGAGCCTAGCATTCAGAAAGTTCCTATTCGCAGAGTGAAGGGATGGGGGACCTTTTTTGTTTTATTTCTCACAGGGTTTCTCTTGTGTAGCCTTGGCTGCCCTGGACTCACTTTGTAGACCAGGCTGGCCTCGAACTCACAGAGATCCTCCTTGAGTGTGGGGACTACAGGTGTGCACCACCGTGCCGGCTTGTGTGTGGTGTGTGTGTGTATGGCCCTGTTACCAGAAACAAGGCCTGGGCCTCCAAAATGCTAGGCAAGCACCCTTCCACTGACTCACACAAACCTGAAACTGGGGTTCTTTACTCTCAGCAGCTTCATAAAGAAATAACTGGTTCTACTAATAACTAATTTCTGGTCAACCCATGTTTTCTTCAAAAGGCAAACTCAAATTTTCCCCCTAGTGCCGAGAATCTAGCCCAGGGGTTTGCATGCTGGGTAAACACTACTAACTGAGCTGCATTTTCAGCCCTCACCATCCTTATGACAAGTTTTAAAGAATTTAAATTCAAATAACTGAGAAAGGAGGGAGGGAAGGAAGAGAGTAGGAAAATAAGTCAAGGACACCAGTTTAATTGTCAAATTTTATTAAGGAAACTTCCCCATTTTAAGTAAAGAGGTAGTTGAAAGTATGTCTAACATACAACAGATTTAGAACAGCCATTCATGAGCTGAAATAAAATGTTCTAAGTTGTTTGTTTAGGACAGTATTTCAGAAATGGTGTCACTAGTCACCATTCACTTACACATTTTCTAAACTAATGCAAAACCACACCTGATTTACCTCAGAGCCACTTCAGTTTGGAGCTTGTTTTAATATTAAATAATAAATAAATAACGGTAATAAAAAAACTACAGTAAAAAGAGTCCTCTTCCTTTTAAAGTTTTCCTAGAATCCATACAACACAAATACTGAGCCTGGCATGGTGGCACACACCTTTAATCCCAGCACTCGGGAGGCTGAGGCAGCAAAGGGTACACAGTAAGATCCTGCCTCAAAACAAAAACCAAAACCTAATGATGAATAACTAAAGTTCACCCCCCCCAATATAATCACTAGTGTTAAAAGCCTTCTTCCACTATAAAATATAAATCCCTTCAATAACTTGACCTCTTTGCTATAAAATCTGAGAAACATGTAAGCAAAGAACCCAAGTCCCAACAAAATTAAATGTCTCACAGAATTAAGACTTCTTCAGCCAAGAAAAGGAAGAGACCACAAACTAGGTAAGTGGTTTGCACTTGAAAACAGAACAAAATATTTTAATAACAGAAAACCCTAAGAATGCTGACTTTGTCAGTGGTTCTCAACCTTCCTAATGCTGTGACCCTTTAATACAGTTTCTCATGATGTGGTGACCCCAACCATAAAATTACTTCCATTGCTACTTCATAACTGCAATTTTGCTAATTATAAATCATAATGTAAATATCTGTGTTTTCCTATGGTCTTGGGCAACTCCAGTGAAAGAGTCATTTCACCGCAGCCCCAAAAGGCATCATGACCCACAGGTTGAGAACTACTGCTTTAAACAATTAACCAAAACAAAGCAATTTTATTCTTAGGAAGTAAATCTGAGACCTCTTCTCACTAAAATTACTTGACACTGTAAGCCCTGTAAGGACAGAGAAGATGTCAATCCTATTTTCCTAACCTCATACTATAACACAGCACCTGGAAATACCAGTTGCTTACTAACGCTCCTTGAGGATGAGGAGTAGCTCAGTGGTAGAGTACCTGTGTACCATGCATGAGGCCTTAGGTTCAAATTCCCCCGCATTAAAAAAAAGAAAAAGAAAAGAAAAGGCTTCTTAGTGAGTGAAATAAATCAAGAAATAGCCTCTAGCCAGAGAAGCCAGTACTATTTGAACCCATGTTGGTTTTAATTTTCAAACTACTAACAGTAACTGGACAAGAACATGAACAAGTAGAGCCCTACCATCTTGAAAATTTCCTATGAAAAAAATGATGTTCAGAGAAAATATTGAGAACACTGGATGAGCAGAGTGCCATTGTTGCATAGAATCGGTGCTCTTTGGACGAATCATGCAAAATTCAGAATGCTAAAGTATTATTAGACCATACACTGAGAGATGTTGACCATAAGTGCCTGCCAGTCTAATTAGCCAACTGTTCTCATACTTAGTTAGCATTAGAGAAATTATTCCTCAAATCGAGCCATGTGTAAATACAGCAAATTATGAGAAGACTTCTTGGCATCTATATAGAAATAAAGTTTAATTTTTGGATTATCTATCCATGTACTAGCATAGCTTGAAAACAGAAACAACAGTCTAGTGGAAATAAAGTTTCTTAGACAAAATCAGTTTCATATTTGGTTCCTTCTCACATTATTCTAACTTGTCCTTCCCTTCGTAGCCAGGCCAATCACTCACTTAGAAATGATGCAATTTTCATCAGGCTAAAAAAAAAAAAAACAATCACCAGGCCAGGGCTGTACCTCAGCGGCACAGTGCTTGCCCAGCACGTATGAAGCACTGGATTTGACTTCCAGCACTACAGTAAAATAACTGTATTTAGTCAGTCTTTTGAAATAGGGCCTCACTCTGTAGCCCAGATAGGCCTCTAACTTAGGGCATCTCTCCTACAACTTCATCAATTCTGAGATTACAAGCACAAGCCACTAAAATACATTTTGAGAAGTAATTATCACAAATCCTTTTGTGACATTTTGTTGGCAAATTCTTGGCGGTCTCCAAAAGCCAAGACAGATGTACAATAGTGAAACAAAACTGGAAACTTTCTGGTAATGTATTACTATTCACCATCTTTTAAAGCCAAGGTATAGTGGTAGAGATGTATGGGGAGAATCATTCATATTTAATCAGGTATATTTTGGCCAATGGTGGCCAGGCTACCAGAGGCCTTCTGTGGTAGGCTCCTGTCCTGATCCGTTTTCTCCCTCTTCTGATGTCCATCCTCTTTGCCTTTTCTGAATGAGGATTGAGCATCTTACCCAGGGTCCTCCTTCTTGCTTAGCTTTAGGTGTACAGATTTTAGTATGTTTATCCTATATTATTTGTCTAATATCCACTTATAAGTGAGTATACACCATGTGTGTTTTTCTGCTTCTGGGATACCTCACTCAGGTTGATCTTTTCTAGTTCCCACCATTTGCCTGAAAATTTCATGATTTCCTTTTAATTGCTGTGTAGTATTCCATTGTGTAAATTTACCACAACTTCTAGATCCATTCCTCAGTTGAGGGACATCTGGGTTGTTTCCAGGTTCTGGCTATTATGAATAAAGCTGCTACTGATGAGACCTGATAGGCTAAGGTCAGATGGAAGGGGAGGAAGACCTCCCCTATCAGTAGACTGGGAGAAGAGCAAAGGAGAAGAGGAAGGGAATGTGGGATTGGGACAAGAGAGGAGGCTCCAGCTGGGATACAAGTGAATAAATTGTAATAAATAAAAAATTAAATTAAAAAAATGACATAGTGTAAGCAACCTTTCGAGAGTTTCAAGTTCTCTAAGCAATTCCATTACCTCACTGTAACCCTTGGGTCAGAAACAGACTCAAAATTGTGTCTGAAATTTACTTAAGAATAAAGACTTTTCCCCCCATCCTTTAAAGTCAACTATCAATGGGAGCAAGGTGGACAGTGTATTGTGTACCTCTAAGACCATCAAAATGCAAAAATTCAGGTTGTTCTTCTGTATCTCACTAAATTTTTTTTCATCTGTTTCCAAGATGAAGGTACATGTGAAAAGGAAAACCTGGAGACAATGTATACCAGACAAAAGTTATGGCCAAATGTACCTTTCTTAAGCATAAACGGTTACAAAGTATAACTCCAACATAGTCCATTATTCTTTAGCTCACTTAAGTATGCTTAAAGAACTTCCAATTACAAAAGTATCAGCAGAGTACATACATAAGCAGCTGGCCTCTTCTTGGGACAGAATATTTAGGAAGCTATCCATGTACCCCTGTTGTTCTATTATATTTCTATCATTTACTGATTATCTTCCTCATGATGGTCCCTATTTGTCTGTAGATGTTGCTGAAAGGATTGTATTCTGGGTAATAAGGAAAATTTGATGGGCTGTGTTAGTGTTTGAAGTACAAACCAACATACTTCTTAGCAGCTCCAAAAAAAAAGTACAAATGACAGGAAGCAGATTCACTCATCAGCCTTGGATGAATCACAGTAGACAAACAGAGGCTCTATCACATATTTAGGTCAACAGCAGTATCACCTCATATCCCATCCTCATTTTTTCCCCAAAGGAAAAATATTTATTTTCCTAAGCACAGCATCTATTAGTAGGAAGGAGGTAAGGTTATTTGTTGGTACCTTCAGAATGTGCTTCA